TGTGGGTAAATTACAGGCTGTGTGAATTTTACTTTACTAAAATTACCAAACAAAACAGTAGACAGGATTAAGGAGAAACTTGAACATGTGTCCTCATCCAGGACATGAGAATGTGGATTGACTAGTAAAATGTTAGATTACTGGCCAGAATGAAGGGTGCACTTCGGTTATAGTTAGGAAAATTTGAAATGAGAGCGGTCAGCATACTTCACGTCCAGGTGGAGATTAGGCAGAAGAGTTGCATTTAAAACCAGTGTTGGGGCTTTTCCAGACAGATATGGTGAGGGAGAGCCATGGACTCCAAAGCAGGTAAGGAGGAAGATAAAAACATGAAGGGCCTTGGCGGGGGTGGGGGCATGAGCCTGGTGGGATTGAAGATTGTTTGGGGAAAGGAGATATGGAGAGAATAATCTGGAAAGAGGAGAAGCGGGTAAAGAGTAGGGTACTTGAAACTGGGAATTTGGAAGTAATGAAATTACTTTATTAGTGATCAAACATCTAGAGCTCCTAGAGGTGGTGGCTCTGGTAGAATGGAAGATAGGGTTGTTGACCAAAACAGGTAGAGGAACTGACTCGTTCCTCTTTCTGTGAAGATCTCACTGAAATTTTGCATCCTCTGCAACTGATGCAGTTGGTCACTCCCACAGTATTTAAATCAGACGTTATACATTTTATGTTTTATATCTGTCTCCCTGACTGCATACACTCTGTGGTCCTTGACAGAAAGCCACCCTATTCATTTATATGCTTTTTGTATCCCTTATGCACATTTTCCTGAGATTTCAGGGTCCACATTGGACTCCAACTATGAAATCAACCTTCCTTTCTCCCACCTCCCCTATAGCCCTTTACTGTACTTGTTCTTTATTTCACACCATTTCAGGCATCTTTGCTGTAGATGGCAATGGTGTCTCCCCACCCCCTTTTAAAATTGTAAAACAACTTTTTTGGATCATCATAGGAAATATTTATAGATTCTTGGTTATTTTTAGTTAAATTCAGTGTGTTTTCTATACTTCTCAAATTTGAATTCAGGCACTTAGAGCTGACACTCGTTTGGTCTGCCCTAACGCCTTGCTGTATTAAAAAATTGTTTCCCAGGTCTGAGCCCTTTTTTGTTTCACCTGTATTCCAGGGGAGTTAACACCATCACTCTTCTGATCTTGCGTTGACAGCTGCATCCGCTCAGTTAAGGCAGAGAGCTGTGTTCCTTCATCGCTTTCACCCCATCCTTCCTGTCCACTAAATGTCTTCTGTGTCCTCCATCTCTAGCACCTCGCTTTCACTTCAGTCTCTTGTCATTATCGCTGTCACTGCTGGATTCTCCGAAATGGCATTCTCCTCTTGGCTATCCTGTACACTACTTGCCAGAAGCATCTATCAAAAACCATCATAGAATCATTTATCCCTGCTAAAAATTCCTTGGTTTTCTGCACCACTAGAGGTCGAAGTCCAGGTTCCTCTATGGCACATAGGGCCTCTGAATTGCCCTGACTTACCTCTTTTAAACCTCGTCTGTATTTTCTCCTTTCTTCTTAGTTTTCATCAAAAGTCATTTTGTTGTGGTTCTCTGAACCACACACACCACTGCTTTACCTTGCTATGCCTTTTCAAAAGTTGCTAGTAATGTCTTGATAGTAATGTCCTTCTTTAACTCACTAGCCTTGTCTCTTTTTCTTTGACGTCCAATTCAGACACCCCCAATGACTGCCACTCAGATGCACACACCAACTTTATGAGTCCCACCTCTATACCACCATGCTAGCTTGTGCCATCTCCTACAGAAATTGAAATTTGTCCGTTTCTACCAAAGTTTGTCCCTTTTTTGGAGAAAAGGACTATTAAATGACTTAATAGATAATTCAGATATTTAATACATAATGTGAATGAATTGGGTTTTTAAACATTTATAACTTTAGAAAACTTGTCGGTGATACTGCACATCGTATTTCCAGATGAAATGAATAATTGCTTTGAATGCCCTTTTCACCTAGGTGACTCACAATATACTCCGATGGTTTATGCCTAATGCCAGCTTTCCTAACAAAGAGTTCCTAGCTAGCATGCTTTCCAAATTCTCCTGCCACCTAATGTGTTTTTAATATACCTAATTATAAAAGCATTACATGTCCACTGCAAAAGGGAAAAAAAGGAACTACAGATAAAAAAAATGTTTTTTGTGGTCTGAAGGCCATCTGGGGCTATGGGCATATTCTATGAGAAATCTGTCAATTTAGTTGGCTCTCAGAGGTTTAAAAGGAAACCCTGCTGGCCACATCTTTTTAGCTTTATTTACGAAGAAGGGAAGGGATTTGAGTGTATAATGTTTTAAGCAGATCCCACACAAATATCCACATGTATCAAATAGGCAATTCTTTATAAAAATTGTGCTTTTATATGAGGTTTATGATTACTGTAAATTTTAACCCTGTTAATTTATACCCTCAAATGAATGCTGTAAAGTACCTAAGAGATGTGGTCCTTCACACTGGGGTTTGTATTTTATCATCAGGGCCCATTTTCTCTCTGTAAGTTGAGATGGCTTTGCATCCTTTGGCCACTGTCAGATACTTGAGGACGCCAAGTCATGGGGCAATGACGAGTAGGACCTTCCCATTGCCCTTCAGGAATCACTCTCCTTTTGAAGACTCATCTCAACTAAATTCTCTTGTTATAATAAGATGTTTTGAAACTGTGTCTTCCGTTTTTCTGGTGTTATTTTAAAATTTGGCACGGCCACTTGAACCTATAGATAGGCACCAGAATGTGCTACGCTGACCTCTGTAACAGTAAACTTTGGTCATTTTAGTCCTGGAAAGCAGATCTTTCCTAATAAAAGGTGATGGGAAAGTAAAGTTCTGTTTGTTTCAGGTGTTTCTGTATAATGATCCCTCTATTAAAGGACTGTGCCTGGGCATATACATTTTATGTTTTGGACTAAATTCCACAGGTGTTGGAACTACACTATTCCTTTACAAAGTGAAAGCAAGGACGTATGCTTCTCTTACCCCAGGGTATGATATATACTCAGTAAATATTTCCCAGATGATGTGAAGAATATTTTATTTCTATCTGAGATAAGGTATAGCTGGTGTCCTGCACATGTTCATTGTCTGGGATTTTCCCAAAGAGTCTAAAGAGCCTGTGAAGAGTCATCACCACATCCATTTCACAGGTTCTGGCGTTTTTGCTATGGTAGTCAGCATTTCCCAACTTTAGACCTGACGTGAAAGCTCAATGTCTTTTTTCCAGTTACCAAAGTACTTGAGTTTATGGCAGGTGTTGAAGAAGCAGGAGGAGTTAAGATTTTAATTATCAGAAATGGAAAATGTGTTTATTTTTTGCAAAATCAAATGTTTAGTATTAGGATTTCTTACTTTTCTAAATAGATATGCAGAATAATAATTTCACAGCTACAGGAGCCAAACACTGAACTCACTCTTAAGTGTTTTATCCTATTTGATCTCAACAAGTGGCAGGTATTATTACTATGCCCATTTTATAAGCCAGAATGCTGAGGCACATGTCCGAGATTATATTTCACCGAACATAATATATTCCTCTTTAGGCATTTAGAAGAAGATATTTTTGTTTATGTAAATACCAAAGCTGTTGAGTTTTTATGTTAAAAGAGTTATAAACTAGTTTACATACCTTTTCAGGCCCACTTTAGTGCTAAAGTGTGACAAGTACTATTGGACAACACGTTGTGGGTAGCAAAAACTAAAGTAGAGGTTCTTGTTTAGCATGATATAATTATTAGTACATAAAATCTAGAAACAGGACTTTTGCTAAATTTGCTGAAGTAAGTCGGAAGAAGTTTATTCAAATTGTAAACCTAAATAACATAATGTTGGGGAAGAAAGAAAGTAACTAGTACTAAAGTATTGGTCATTTTTCTGTCAGTGTCACCCGAGTATTTTTCTTACCATTGCCATAACTTGCCCAAAGACCTTTCTGCAGCACATGGGTAAATAGCATATTCTTAACAGTATCTGGAACATTTTCCATTATCAGAATAACTCCTTTCAGTCATAGTATTGTGGTATTTGTCTTGTAATATTTATATTTGCAAAGGAATAAATTGAGAGATTCCAGTGCTTTTGTTACCTAAGTGGTAAACCCCAAGCAGAAAAAGATAGGTTGTTGAACTTATGTGACTCTCATATCAGTATGAGCAAACCCTTATGTAGATGGGAAAATAAAACCCACGAAGTCACTGTTATTTCAGCCGCACCAACCTTACCAGACTTGCCACCTTTGGAAGAATGAATAGAAAGAATGAACAGAAGGCAAACAGCTGAACATTGAGCATTATTCAGGTCATGATGACCTCGCAAGTTAGATATTGTGCTGTGCCTTGAAAAAGGAACTGTAACAATAAACTTCACGTTTGCGTATGGATCTTTGTTTTGTAGACATTAGTGTTTAATTGATGCACAGTGCATAGTAACTGCATGAGGCATTTTAATAATATGGACTAAGTGTAGCATGGAATCAAAGAGATCTTCCTCTTTACTGGGTTTTCTAGGTCAGTGACCTCATTTTTTTCTAGTAGTAAGAAGACCTAGGGTGTAAGTTTTCTGTGTGCCCCTGCAGTCTGCTTAGTTAGCTTGAATAGTTACTAATGGTGAATGTTCATCTCATGAGGACTTAGCACATTGTGTTTCTGAAATGTATTTGGAGTGGGAAACAGCTTCTGATGAAAGCTACAGGAGATTCTGACATAGGCTTTGAAAATTGGTATTACCATTACTATTTTATTTTCCAGTTTATTCTGGCCCTTACCTGTATTAGATACTTTAAAAATCTCTTTGCAGTTGCTTGCCTTAGGTTGTTACTAGGCCTCACACTGGGTTTGTGATGGGTAGACTGGCCCACAGTATGAAATTTGAAGATTGTGGGTTGAATTTGATTTTGCTTTAAGCTCCACAGAACACAGCTGAAACTGGAGTGCCATCTTCTGTGGTGTTGACGTTTTTATTTTTGTCATCTTTTAGGCACTCAAGGAGTTGCCCCTGGTCCTGTAATTGGACTTCAGGCACCATCTACTGGTCTTCTTGGCGCCCGGCCCGGTCTCATCCCACTCCAGCGCCCTCCGGGAATGCCCCCACCTCACTTACAGCGGTTCCCTTTGATGCCGCCGCGTCCCATGCCACCGCACATGATGCACAGAGGCCCGCCGCCAGGACCAGGGGGCTTTGCGATGCCCCCACCTCATGGAATGAAAGGTCCCTTCCCACCACATGGCCCGTTCGTTAGGCCTGGTGGAATGCCAGGGCTCGGGGGCCCAGGACCAGGCCCAGGGGGTCCTGAAGACAGAGACGGAAGGCAACAGCCGCCGCAACAACAGCAGCAGCAGCAGCAGCAGCCGCCGCAGCCGCAGCCGCCCCAGCAACAGCAACAGCAGCAGCAGCAGCAGCAGCAGCAGCCGCCATCACAACAGCCTCCACCAACACAGCAGCAGCCACAGCAGTTTAGAAATGATAACAGACAGCAGTTCAATTCAGGTAGAGACCAAGAAAGGTTTGGAAGAAGATCTTTCGGAAATAGGGTGGAAAATGACCGGGAACGGTATGGGAACCGTAATGATGATAGAGATAATAGTAACCGTGACAGGAGAGAGTGGGGAAGGAGGAGCCCTGACCGGGACAGGCACAGAGACTTGGAAGAGAGAAATAGACGCTCTAGTGGGCATCGAGACAGAGAGAGAGATTCTAGAGATAGAGAGTCTCGTAGAGAGAAGGAAGAAGCACGAGGAAAGGAAAAGCCTGAGGTGACAGACAGGGCAGGTGGTAACAAAACCGTTGAACCTCCCATTAGCCAAGTGGGAAATGTAGACACTGCTTCAGAACTTGAGAAGGGGGAGTCTGAGGCTGCAGTCCTAAAGCCTTCTGAAGAGTTACCTGCTGAGGCTACCTCATCCGTTGAACCCGAAAAGGATTCTGGCTCAGCAGCAGAGGCTCCTCGTTAAGAGACTGGAATTTGTGAAAATGTGACAGTGACACTTCCTGGAGTGTAGAGCTTGAGGTGTACAGATGCTGTATTATATCCGCTCCCGCTGTACTGCAGCCCCGCGCCAGCTGGTGGGGAACTGTAAGCAATTTGATTGCTTCCCTTCTATTTAAAAATAGCCACAAAATAACAAAAAATACTGAAAATATGAATAAATATTACCCTTTTTGCTGTAACTTTTTAAAAGTTTTGACTTTAAAAAGTTTACAAATCGTAATTAGAAGTGCTCTCTATTTTTTTTTTTTTTAATTTAAGACAAGGTAACGGTGAAAGCTCCTCAAAACAATAGGGATGTTTTTAATAAACTCTATTTTCGTAACAAACTTTAATGTGTGCTATTCTTCCTACACTGCATTAAGGTGGAAAAGGATTGTTCACCATCAAAGTTTGAGCTGTTAATACTGTATTGGAGTCTAAATTAGACTTATTTGATGAAAATCGACATTTTATGTAGTTATTCTCACTTTCATATGTAATACTTTTGAATTTTAGTGTTTCAGTCATAAGGTAAAGGTTAGTTGTTTTAATGTCAATTGAAAAGCTGTGTTTGCAATTCAATCGAGGTTTTTTTTTTCCCCCATTGGCTTTGTGGTATATGTTGCCCTAATTAATTTGTAAGATTTTGCTGGGGGAAAAGTTAATTCCAGTGTTACATGTTGTACTATAAATTATCTGACTGCCTGGGTATTACGTTAGAAGGTTGCATGTGTGTGTGTGTTGTTTTTTTTTCCCAACCATCCCACTGAATTTTTCAAAAGGGTAAAAGAATCAAGGGTAACATTTGCAACCTAAAAGCTTTTTGTTGTGTTTGAGGACTTCAGTGCAACCTATTGTTTCCTTATATAAGCCTTGCCTATTGCCTTTCTTTACCAGTTTTTTAATTCCCCTGCTGGGCAGAGGTAAACTGAACTTTTCCCCCACATACACTTTTTTTCTTTTGCTTAAAGTTGGTGGGTTAACTAGGAAAAATTGTTGTAGGTTATCCAAGAATTACATGAAGACATCCAAAGCCAAGTCAAGCCTTTATCTGAAATTGCAGGAAATCCAGTGCCAAGACCTGATGTCACACTATCCAAATATTTATGGCCTTCAAGTTGTTTTGAATTACTTTTTTAAACTCCTGGTTTCAGTATGCTTAGCAGTTAACTTTGTCTTTGCCGTCATCCTCAGGCAAAGCTACTTTATTACTCTGGTTTTTAAATAATACTCAGCAGCAAGGCCTTTGGTTTGATGGGGAGAATATATCTAGGGCAATGTCCTTATATTCCTGCCTTTAGAAAATGAGAGAAAATTGTTGTATCTGTAAATTTAAATTATAAAACTTGTCCTTAATTTTACACTGGCCCAAAAAAAAGTCCTAACAAATGGCTTCTGGAAGAAAACGTGATTACTCAACATCCAGACTTGAAGGACTTACAGCCTGTATTTCCAACTTAAAGTATTAAGAGCATCCTATATGCACATGAAATGACTACTCCTAACTGGTAGCGTGATTATATTTGAAGTTTGAAAGGCGTGAGTCTCTTAATTCTTAAGAGTTATTCCACATAGGCAACAAACTACATTAGGGAAATGGGTTAAATACTGTTTTTTAAACATTACCGAGATTTAAAGAATGGTGGTTTTAACCACTTACTGTAAGCATATTGTTCTTTAACATAATTTTAAAACTTTGGAAACACTACAGATTTGTCTTCCCAATTTAGCTTTTCCTCTCCTACATTTGATAAAGTACGTATTTATGAACAGATTGTCACTTATTCATGGTTTATCAGAAATATTCTACAATTTCCAATTTCCAATTGAATAGTCAAACCTGAGTTAGGTTAACATTTAAAAGCATTCTCTCTCAGGTACGTAAATACATTGAGAGAAAGTGACTCATTTCACTAATTCGGTGTGTAAATTAATAAACAGCCAGAACCCACAGTCAAACATTTCCTTGGTTCTATCTTCCAATGCTATAGATTTCTTTAAAGGGCTAATCTGTTAAGTAGGTTGTGCCAACGTCCACCCTTGAATGTACAATTTGTGCCATTCTGGCAGGTAGATAATCTTATTAGCTAGCTGAGGCTGTAACTTGCCTTTTAAACTCACTAAAAGTTATCAAATGGCTCTCTTACACCATAACGTCTTTTTAAAATGAGGTACTTTATGAATCAAAATGCTAAAATGACTAAGCAAGAACATTTCCCTAAAGCTTTCAAAGGACAGCCTGTTGTCTAAGCAGAGTTGTGTTCGTATTAGCTAAAAGACCTGCTGTTTTAAAAGTATGCATTTTGATGATCTCAAAACACTTTCAAAGTAAAATGCTATCACTGTTAGTATTACTAAATCTGTTCCACTGAAGCTGTTTATATAAATAAGTATCAGAGCTAATTTAGTTTGAACTTGGATTCTTTTAATAGGCCCAAAATGAGTGCCATACAGGGTTTTTATTCACAGGCTTGAATGAGAATTGAAGAAATTCTGACAAGTTTAATACCCATCTGTGATTAAGTCTGGCAAAATACAGGTCATTGAAACAGACATTTTAATTGAGTTTTATAAAACTATACAAATCTTCCAAGTGATCATCAACCAGTTTCTCATTACAGGTACTAAGCAAACGTCACACAATTACACTTTTAAGATTACAGTGTTTAATGTTTATCAAGATACATTTCTACAGCTAGCAGGATAACAGATGAGTCAATGGGCCTCAGACTACATCCAAGGGAATGTTTATTGGGCGATCCCAATTACACCACAAGCCAGACGACCTCCAGCCTTTCCTGTCTTTTTACTTTCTTCATTTCCACCTTTGCCCAAGTCATCTGCTTTTTCATGGACCTGTAAAAAATTGTAAGAAGATAACTTTGGGCTGTCAAGTAATCACTACCTCCTCCCAACAATACCCAAAAGATGTTTAAGAACCTCATAATATTAGAAAAATAACATTAATCCTAGTAGATATACTAATACTTAGTAGTTTAAAAGTAAAAACTACTATTCAAAGCTTTTTCTTGGTGTTGCAAAGACATTACCTTTAAACATTAGGTAAGTGTTGCTATCTCTAAATGAAATACTAAAAACCCAAATAACTATGTTGTAGACCACCACACACTACCCTTAGTCCTCCATGATAAGTTACAGTAACTAGTTCAGCAGTCACTCTGGCAATTTTAATTGCTTTGGAAAAAAAGGAAAGTGAAAGTGAGTAACGTTCAAAATTTCATACCAAATGAATGACAGGCCTATAAATAAGACATAATCCTAAAAAACCTTAATACTTTAGCAACAGTATTTTGAATTTTGTTCAACAAACCTTTGTAAACAATTTTTCTGCTTTACAACTATGGCTCAAGAAAACCTTAAAAATAAAAGGGTTAACTGAATGGAAGTGACTAATGAATGTTAATGCTCTCAAAGGGAGGTAAAAGAGAGCCAGTCTACCTGGTGTTTTGCATGAACCAGATGCATTCCCCAGAATAACTTGGGGCAACAGCTTCCCACAAGTTAAACAAGTCATGATAACGTGCAGTCCTGGATGAACATGAATACTGAAGTCCATCCCAGGTTTTAAACTTAACAAAATGTTCTGTTTAACAAGTGAGAAACCCAATCCTGGCAAGAAAATCTGGCCATTTTAAAACTAAAGACTACTCTGTTTTCCAAACTCAGATCTAATATGGTCAAATGTAACCTGCTTTCTACTGCATCTTAGCAGAACAGTGTTCTTAACTGACCTAGATAAAATAATTGATTTTCACCATAATTGTCCAATAAAATTGCTTTTCCTAATTTGAACTGCAAGTATAATTTATCTGGATCTTTAGAAACCACGACTAACAATCATAAAGTGAAGAGATACATGACTGTATGTTAGACGAAGTTTTATGTATATCCTTTTATGAAAACTCACCACCAATGTGCGGCCAATGATGGAATGGTCTCCTGAGAGTGAGATCACAGAATCTTCGAAAGACACATTGGCCACACCATCTTTGCCAGCGGTCACATTGCCCAGGTCTCCAACATGCCTAATAATGGAAAAGCATCAGATGGATTAGGGCTGACTCCACTAAACATCAAGGTAGTTCATGAGCTAAATTAAAACTTGACTGAGTAAACACAAATTTGCAAACAAGTAGCTAGGCATTCTAAACACAGCTCTTCAAACAAGGCTTCAAGTCTACAAACTCATGCTCTGGGAAGAAAGATGGGGGTGCACCTCATTTCAGAAGTACCAAAGGGTAAACTCTCAGTTACTGAGTTATGCCTGTTAATTATTGGCATAGCTAACAAAGCTATGTCCCAAGGCCTCTGATATAAAAATCTTGTCCTTAGATTTAGTATTTTCCTGAAAGGCTTTCAGAAAACATACACATACAAATGGAGTCTCGACTAGTTTTCAATATCAATTTTTTTATCTACAGACGCTTCCTATGTTTCACGATGATTGATTCTGCTAGTGGTTAACAGTACTGTTACTCATGACATTTCCTGTATAAGTTCCCCTTTGGCACCTGTATTAGTTCTATATTCAATAAATGCTACAAAACCAAATCGTTTTAAGTGTCCCCATTTGTCAATTCCTTTAAGCCCAGGAAGTAAAAGCATTCCAGCATTTGGGAGCAGGGGTTTAGATGAGTCAGCAAGTTCAAAAACAAAGGTGGGGGAGAACACGGAATTATCTTAGCACATATTTACAAGTAGTATACCATATGAACTCCAGAAAGCTATCGCCATTATTACAAGAGTTAAGCATCTTGTTACCTCTCTTCATCCTTTGGCCCACCATGTTGTCTGGATAGAGGATTAAAGTGAGGACCTGCACTGGTACAGCCTATTTACAAGAAAAAGAAAAAAAAAAAAGCTAAATTATGAATTAAAGTTCCCAAATACATTCTAAAAAGAAACACTGCTAAAACTTCCCATGGAGAGAGCGGGGACCTGCATCACAACTTCTGGGATAAGCAACACCTTGGTACAGGCATGGTGAGAAGGGAACAGAAACAAGTCTATGGCCGGGCATGGTGGCTAACACCTGGAATCCCAGCACTTTGGGAAGCTGAGGTGGGTGAATCATCTGAGGTCAGGAGTTTGAGACCAGCCTGGCCAACATGGCAAAACCCTGTCTCTACTGAAAAATACAAAAATTAGCTAGGCATGGTGGTGTGCACTTGTAGTCCCAGCTACTTGATAGGCAGAGGCAGGAGAATCGCTTGAACCTGGGAGGCAGAGATTGCAGTAAGCTGAGATTGCACCACTGTACTCCAGCCTAGGCAACAGAGCAAGGCTGCGTCTCAAAAAAAAAAAGCAAGTTCTAACTACTATCTGA